CCTTCGGACAATGGGCCAGGAAAAGGTTGTGGATAGCTATATGCTGACAGATTTGGAGGTGTCTGGTCTAAAAACAAGTGAGTTTTGCAATTTACCGGAGATCTTCACTCAAAAAAGCATGCCTGTCCATCGAGGAAATATTCCACAAGCGAAGGACCTGCAGCGTTGGCCACACCTGAGGCATATTCAAATTCCAGAGATTGAAGCAGATGTGGATCTCCTTATTGGCACTAATGTACCTCAGGCGTTGGAGCCCTGGGAAGTTGTTCGCACAGTGAATGGGGGCCCTTATGCCGTTAAGACTATCCTGGGCTGGACAGTAAATGGCCCACTCAGAGGAGATTGCCAAATGGACAAACAAATACAGCCTCACGTCTCTGTAAATCGGATCTCAGTGGCAAGGCTGGATGAGCTGTGGGAGAAGCAGCTGAAAATTGATTTTCCCGAGGCCAAACAGGATGAACAACATGGATTGTCAAAGGAGGATGAGAGATTTGTGGAGTCTGTTTCACATTCAGTCAACCATATTGATGGGCACTATAGTATTGGATTACCTGTAAAACGAAGATGCCTCAAAATGCCAAACAATAAGACAGTTGCAGAACAAAGAGCAATCGGCCTCAAAAAACGCTTATCTAAAGACTCGTCCTTTCGCTCAGACTATGTCAAATTCATAAACGAAATGCTAAAGAATGGGTACGCAGAGAAAGTTACAGCTGAGCAGTTGAGGCGAAGCGACGGAAGAGTGTGGTATATACCCCATCACGGTGTGTACCACCCTAAAAAGAAAAAACTACGTGTGGTCTTTGATGGGGGAGCCACCTTTCAGGGGGTCTCCTTGAACTCTCACCTTCTCCAAGGACCTGATCTTACAAGCCAGCTTGTTGGTGTTCTGACCAGATTCCGAAAAGAACCAGTCGTGCTTATGGCAGACATCGAAGCTATGTTTCATCAGGTCAGAGTGCCGCCAGAAGATTGTGACCTGTTAAGATTCTTGTGGTGGCCCGACGGAAACTGTGAACGGGAACTGGTTGAGTACAGAATGGTGGTACATCTTTTCGGCGCCACCTCATCCCCGAGCTGTGCTTGTTTTGCCCTTCGAAAATGTGCTGAGGACAATCGGAAGCACTTCAGTCCTGTTGCAATCAACACTCTACTACACAATTTTTATGTAGATGATTGCTTGGTGTCCGTCGCCACTGAAGAAGCCGCTTTGTCTCTATGTAAAGAGCTTGTTGAGTTGTGCGCCAGAGGTGGATTTAAGCTCACAAAATGGATCAGCAACAGTCGCACAGTCCTCGCTGCTATACCTCCAGAAGAGCGAGCCAAGGAAGTTAAAGATCTGGACTTGGACAGTGATGCCTTACCAGTTGAGCGAGCCTTGGGTGTACAGTGGTGTGTACAGTCAGACGCATTTAAGTTTAAGATTACACTCAAGAACCGTCCGCTCACAAGAAGAGGGATTTTATCCATTGTCAGTTCAGTCTATGATCCTCTTGGCTTTCTGGCACCTGTTGTTCTTACTGCTAAGAAAATCCTCCAAAATCTCTGTAGGAACCGTCTGGGCTGGGACGATTCGTTACCCCCATCTGTAGCCAGAGAATGGATGGCTTGGCTGGAGACAAGTTCAGTATATGTTCAGTATATGTCCAGTCTGTTCTGGAAGCGTTGGTTAAAGGAGTATCTTCCAGGATTGCAAGAGCGTCAAAAATGGAATCGTGCTCAAAGGAATTTCTTGCCTGGAGATGTTGTCTTGCTGGTGGATGACATGTCACCGCGTAATTCATGGATTACAGCTCGAGTCGTGGATACTGTGTCGGACAGGAATGGATTAGTACGCACAGTGAAGATTAAAACAAAATCAAGTACTTTGGACCGTCCGGTTACCAAGTTGTGCCTTTTGCAGGAAGCAGATGAGCAGTGAAGATCGTGTGGATTATAACTTTGAACTTTCTTTCGTTGTGGATTACTTGAATGAACTGAGACATTACTAGATTGTGGACTACTCTATGATCGTACTAAAACTGGACTCTAGACCTTTACCTTTTTTGGTGTTTTTGGGTTATGGTTCTGTCTCCTACTTGTTTAATGGTGATGGGTAATTATTAGCACACAATAATTAGGGGCCGGAATGTAGGAGCCATTTAGGGTTTTTGTTTTTCTGTGTGAATGTGACTAGTACATGCACGCGCATATAGTATCATGCACGGGTCCAGTGGGTGTGGTTGTCTATTCAGTGCACGCGCTCACTTCAGCTGTGTGTGTGTGTGCCTGTGTCATGGCGGTGGGGTGAGCTGGGGAAGGAACTTTCTGTTGACCGCATGTTTCCATCAATTAAAATATCTGCACTGTCTTAATGAGGTATCTTCATTATCATACATAGCAACATTCCAAGTAAGTGCCTGATTCATTTCTACTCTCCGCAATAAACTTCATCATACTGTGCAATATCTCCGACTGCGCGTCATCAGTGTCTGCTCCCTTGCTTAGCCCGCCGTGGCGTCATGGATTAAGTTTGCCCTCCCATACGCCACTATAATGTCCAAAAGAATTTGTAATTTGTTCGAAGAAGAAACTGCTGCGATGATGTGCACAAAGGATCCAATGTTGTGGAGGTTAAACTAATAGTATTAAGAACTTTAAGTCTGATGTGAGAAATGCACCAAAGCATCTGAGAAAAATTGTAATCAGACTACAACAGCACTACAACTGTTTGGAGAATGCATTTTATTTGTTTTTATTGTTTTTGTATCTTTAATCACCTGGAAACTCAAAATAACATGCAAATCTTTTCCTATTACAGTTTGAAAATAATATACCATAACTGGATTATTCCCTGAGACTTAAGACTATACTCACTTAGTTTTTGAGGCACTCACACAAACAGCCAGCTCTTTCCAAACAAACCAGGAACCTTTTACTCACACTATTGTTTAAAACACTGAATTTCTGCTGATATTAAAGTCAGAAAGGTACATTGTATTTCATCTTTAAACAATGTGTACAGGTTGGTGATGATCCAGGACATTTATTATTACGGTATTATTACTGCATTTCCCGCGTTCGAATGGTTTGATTCCAGGGACGTGCGGTGAGGTTTGTGATTGGGGAGGCACTGACTTTAAAAGTCAGATTTACAATCATTATTCAAATAAAATAGCATTTAATCACCAATGCAATGACATCCACAAACTTTATATACTGTAAAGATAAGAGAACCAGCTTCTTTTAATAATCTCACAACAAATCTAGCTGCTGACTCTGCTCCGCATCAAACAACATCTTTAAGAAGCGCAGGTGCGAGAGACGCGAGGAGAGAGAGACGCGAGGAGAGAGGAGCAGAGAGAGACAGAGAGGAGCAGAGAGACAGAGACGCGAGGAGCAGAGAGAGACGGAGACGCGAGGAGAGAGAGACGGAGACGCGAGGAGAGAGAGACGCGAGGAGAGAGAGACGCGAGGAGAGAGGAGCAGAGAGAGACAGAGAGGAGCAGAGAGACGGAGACGCGAGGAGCAGAGAGAGACAGAGAGGAGCAGAGAGACGGAGACGCGAGGAGAGAGAGACGCGAGGGAGAGAGAGACGCGAGGAACATAAACAATAATTTAAACAAGTTGCAGAACTCTTGAGCAGTGTTTGAATCAGTGTTTTTCGGAAAAGCACTACTTTGCCGGTATCTGTCAATGTTCAACATAAAACACAGATTAACAAACTCCTCCCCCGCAGCCGGACTAACCTCGTAAGTCCAGTGGTGGTCTCCCAGTCTATATTAATTCTTTCTTTGTTTGAAAGTCCAATTGAGAAAAAAAATCTTCATTCAAATCATCCATTTTCCAGCAAAAGATATAGCATTTTGGGCTGATTGTTTGTTAGCAACTCTGGTATGAACTTTATGCTCACTATCACCCCTAGCGGTGAGGCACAGATACCGCCTGCCTCACGCCAAGCTTTTTCCTTGTGTGTTCATCTACGATCAAAAGACTTAAACTAAATATAAATTGTACACACATACGTGCAATACACTACTAAACACTAAGAGGAGTTTAAAAAATGTTTTTAAAGCAGGATATTTGAAACAAACGGTGATATATCAACTGCACGAGCTGAGTGCACTCAGACACACACACACACACTGTGAGGGAGCGGTCTGGGGTGAGGCACGCAGGAGCGCTGCCTCACCTCGTCTCTTTGAATAGGAATAACGGGATTTCGGCGATTTTGACTTCAGAAATGATCAAAACTGATGGGAACCGTGCCGAATATACATTAAAAGCATAGGACAGTGGATATAAATTATATATTTAAACTAAAATAATTATTAGTTTCCAATAATGGCAGGTGAGGCTCTGCCTCCCCTGCCTCCCCTGACTGCACGTCCCTGTTTGATTCTCTGATCTGTCGTTAAGGAATCGACCTTGAAAAGTTCTCAGTTTTCTGTTGTGATTTAGGTCTATACAAAAACACATTGAACTGAATATGTCATGGATTTTTGTGCTAGAATTCTGATGATCATGGCTTAGAGTCCATTTCTTAAAAATATTCTTGTTTTCTGTGTTGTTTTATCTGTTTGTTTTTTGCATTGTGAGACAATTTTTAACATAATAACAAATAAAGGCTTGATATTTATCAGAGGTAAAAGGACTTTTGAACAATCTTCTAAGTCTCATCTCTGTTTCCGACCCTGGGGCACTATACTGATAAAAACAGTAAGTATTTTTTAACCATGATATATTCAAAAGTCCCTCCCCTTAGCATAGAGAGAACACTTAAACCAATGAATGAATACATTTCTTAATACATTTTGACCAATCAGAGGCCTACATTCTCTTCAAAAAGTTCCGCTCGCTCTTAACAACTTGAAAAGGTACTGACGTTCACTTTAAATCCAGTTCGATCCAGCCATTGGAAATAAGCTCAGGATTCTTGGTGGATAATCGGGACTAGCTCTTGGCGCTGGTGTGTGCAACAGGGCTCGGTGATAAAGGAGGTGGAGCAGGAGTCTTCTTCATAGTTTGGTGTGGCCTGATAAGATGGATTGGTAAATGTCGCTGGTCATGGTCAGGTAGCTCTTCTCACGGTCGTCCAGCACAAACAGAGGGTCCTGAACTTGTCTTGGATCGAAGCCCTGCTGCACCAGCTTCAGCTTCATCTGTTTGAACGTCCCGGTCACCTCCACAGCACCCTGAGAACACAACAGCATATTTATACTTTATTTAACCAGGAAATCCCTACATATTAAATCTATCTTTTCAACCTTGCCCATCTATTCTTGTATTCCTTTGAATGAATTCCTATGGCTTGTATTCATATAACAAGATATACAGGTAAAACTGGAAAAAATATTTAAAATTCAAAAGTCAACTTAATTATGAAATTAAGCTTGCACAGTGAAACTAATATGACATGCCTTGATGCCTTTATAATGTCATAATGTTAATAATTGACTCTCAACTTTTAAAACCTAAATAAACACCAGGTGGCAGTAGTGTTCAACTATACAACATACAGTAGTTCAATCAGATTAGGCCAGTGCTACAACTGCTTCCACTGTGGGGCTTTAACCGGTTTAGAGCTTAACTACAATGTATGTATGTGGTTGTGTACATTACAGCAGTCAAAGTGGTCTGTACCTGGGCTCATTCACAGATGATGTATAAATATGCAGTAAGTACATAGAAACTAGAAAACAGTCTTCTTGAATCTTCTGAAATCTTGAAATTATATGCCATCTGCCCCCTTAAAGTATTAGTAAATATAGGGAATACTTTCTAAGCAAATTAAAATTAAATGTTTAATTTTTTTTTCTTCTCCTGAATCTACCGCCTCAGTCCTGGATCTACTTCCCCAATCCTGGATCTCCAGCCTCAGTCATGGATCTAAAACCTGTACGTCAGTGGGAACAGAGGCCTGTCTCAATATGGGCCTCCCCAAGGCTTCTCTCACTGGCTCCTATGTAGTTACTCCTTTACACTTCGCCCACGTTGCCTAGAATGAATCGTGTGTGTGTGTGTGTGTGTGTGTGTGTGTGTGTGTGTGTGTGTGTGTGTGTGTGTGTGTGTGTGTGTGTGTGTGTGTGTGTGTGTGTGTGTGTGTGTGTGTGTGTGTGAATTAATGGTGGTGGATGGAGGGGCTGATAGCACATACTGGTTGCCTCGCTTCTGTCAGTGTGCCCCAGGGAAGATGTGGCTACAGTAGTAGTTTATTACCACAGTGTATGGCGTGAATAATAACATGTCAATCATCTTTTAGTGTCCTGAAAAGCGCTATGTTTGATACTCTGATCTGTTGTTGGTGAATTAACAGCTTTGTAAAGTCCTCTGAGGCGGCTGCTGTTGTGATCTAAGGCTATACACAAATACATTTCACACCACCTCTTTACCAATCTTCACAGACAAATGTACTTCCTTTCATTACTCCCTTCACTTAACCCTAACAAGGAGCTTCTAGAAGAAAGGCTGTAGTTGTGATATTCACCTGTGTGCGCACAAAGCGAGGGCGTGCATACGATGGCAGATACGCACACATGTGGCTGTACAGAATTCTTCCATCAAAATCTTCTTTTAACGTGACAGCAGCCATCCCGACTCTACCCTCGTGGCCTGAACACAACAGTAAAAGAGACATATTATGCTAAATCAACTGTTCCCTGGTCAAAAACAGACCTGGAGTTGTTTGTACTGTAGATCCATCCACGCTAATATCAGAGACTTCTGGCACAAACATGTAACCCTTGTTCCAGTCTTCTTGAAAATGTGAGACAGGCTTCTACTCTGACAATTTTCAAACCCTAGTTAAAACAGTTTTGTGTATCTGTGCATACAACTGATTGTTTCTTCTCTCTTTTAAAGTACTGTGATTGTTTATGATTTGAATGCCTTGTGTAATTGTTTCTATCTAGTTTTGTTAAGCACTTGAGTCGCCTGGTTAGTACTGTGATGGGAGACCTCTGGGGACATCAGGTGCCACAGTGGGGCGGCTGCGGCTGTAAAGTTCAGAACTCTCGTTGTGTCATGAGGAAAGACACTTCACCGACATTGCCTAGAATGAGTCTGGTGTGTGTGTGAATGGTTGGTGGTGGTCAGAGGGGCTGATGGCACGTACTGTTTTCTTCGCTTCTACCAGTGTGCCTCAGGGCGGTTGTGGCTACAGCAGTAGTTTATTACCACAGTGACGGACTGAAAGAATGATGACATGTGAAGCGTCTTCGAGTGCCTAAAAAAGCCTATATAAAACTGTAGCGTTCTTACTATTCCCTCAATGACAAGGTTGTGTTAGCAGCAGCCTTACTCTGGACATGCCTAGTCTAAATGTTGTTGCCTGGAACATGGCTTTAAACTTAGTGTTTGTTTATTCATTGTCTCTTGTACCTGGCACCTGGACACCGTAGACATTAGCTTCGTTGATAAAGTCACAGATCGTCAAGATGTCAGACACTTCAGTTGTGGCCACATTTTCACCTTTCCACCTAAAAACAGAAGAATCATGGTATGTGTTTGAAACAACCACAAAATCACAGCTCGTTTCCAACTAAAAATGTAGAGAAAAAGGTACAAAAAAAATGTAAGAACCGTTTTATTCTCCTGGCCTTCAGCCTTTGTAGCGAGTATTTAATTGGAATTACAGAAATAAATTGACTTTAAATCTCAGAGTTTCACTTGGAGATGGCCTATAGTTTCAGATGTACCTGAACGTGTCTCCAACCCGATCCTGGAAGTAGATGAAGTTGTCCTGGTCGATCCTCATGAGGTCTCCGCTGTTGAAGTACAAGTCTCCGGTTTTGAGGACGTGCCGCAGTCGTTTCTTCTCCGTCTGCTCCTGGTTCTGAGCGTATCCTTCAAACGGAGCGATGTCCGTGACCTTACACACCAGGAGACCGGTCTCACCTAACGACAGAGAGAAGAGGGACTGATTTTATAAACGTCCAGGTTGAAATCCTATTTGAGCCTCTATAGTTAATGCCTGTATAAGAAAGAGCAAGAGTGCAAACGTGATTATTGCAAATTTTCTCAAAATCAATGACATTTTGGATTCAGGGGATTCAGAATTTTATTGTGGCTAAATATTACATGTGGGAGTTCTGCTGCTTATTTTCATGCAGGCCGTAAATTAATATAAATAAAAAATGTGCCTTTTTCTGATAATTCTGCTGTACCGTGCATCCAATTTGTGCATTAGTTTCAGTATTATCGTTTACAATAATAATAATAACGATTTAGTTTAATACAGCACTTTTTTTGGACTCTCACTGTGGTGATGAACTACTACTGTAGCCACAGCTGTTCTGGGGCACACTGTCAGAAGTTAGGCGACCAGTATGTGCCATCCGCCCCTCCGACCACCACCAACCATTCACACACACACCACTCCAGGCAATGTGGGTGAAGTGTCTTGCCCAAGGACACAATGACAGTTTGGCACTTTACAGCCGCAACCGCCCCACTGAGGCGCCTTTAAGTGTTCCTGGAGGTCTCTCATCACAGCACTAAGACCGAAGATCCGCACAAAACAAGTGAACTACAGTATGTTTTAATGACAGTGGAAATAGAACATTAGCGTACAATTTATAGAAAGTAATATAAATGAATGAATAATTATGTGTTTTATTCATACATGTACGTAAATGTTCAGAAATGTTCATAAATATTCAAACATGTACGTGAATGTTCATAAATAAATAAATAAACAAACACTTTAACATTCTACAACATGTATGGACATTTATTTTTAACATGTGGTCTATATTCTCTATGTGTTTTAACTGTTGATTCTCTGATCTGTGTTGGTGATTCAATGGTTTTGTTAAGTCCTCTGAGATAATACTGTTGTGATTTTGGGCTATACAAGAATACATTGTTTTGTATTGTATTGTATTTCACCTTTGGGGGCCTTCAGACAGAGACCGTCCTCCCCTCGCAGCGGCTCGTCACGCTCTGTATCGTACTTTATCAGCACAAACGGGAACAACTTCTGAAGGAACAAATCCACGTGCAGTCTTCGTTTCATTTAGAAGATTTTTATATCAAACATTCAATCCATGAATGACATATGGTCTATGGTTCTCAAGCTCACCGCACACCGAAACGCAGCGCCTCGCGGCGCGTCATTTGACGCGCGTTCATGACATGTGTCAAATTACACCGGAACGCCTTGGCTAGCGTCCTTTTCCAGCTGATCGCAGATGAAATGGGTGAGTGACGTTTGGAAGTTTCTACTAATATTTTGGGGGAGGAAACAAAGTATTTACGTGAAATTATGCTGGCAAATATTACAAGAAAAGACTATTTGGACCCATTTTTTAAACAGGCTAATAACTAGCTCTGGGTAACGCTGTACTTGGGTTATCAAGCTTTCCTCGTCCATTGTGACCGGTTTACTTGAGCAATAGCGCCGACAAGTGTGTAAATTTGAGACCGCGCTCACAGCTACGTGATAAGAAGCGCAGAAGAAGAAAACTACGGGTGCTTGGAGGGACAGTTTCAGCCGCGGCGCCGCGTCTGGATTCAACAAAACTGAATCGTGGCGCCCGGTCCAGCGTCGCCGCGCGTCACTGCAACCTTGGTGTGCGTTCTCTCATAGAAAATAAAGGAGGCGGCTCTTTTGCCGCGCGTCAAGGCGTTTCGGTGTGCGTTGGGCTTCACACACAGAAACAAACACACACACACACACACACACATTCTCTCTTTGTCTCACACACACATCGTAAAGCGCGTTGGGTGACCTTAATAAAGAGGCCTTACATACACTCTCTCCCTTTCACTCACTTTCTCTCTCTCACACACTCAGTCACACACACGCACACACACGCACACACATTTCTCACCGCATGAATGAAGTTGACTCGCCCGATGGCTCCAATTTTGCCGGCGTAGTTGATGAAACCCACATTTCCTTCCGTCGAGGCGTAAAACTCTCGGATGTGAATGTCTCCGAATCGAAGGACGAACTCTCTCCAGACCTCAGCGCGGAGCCCGTTCCCGATGGCCAGACGGACTTTATGATCCCGCTCGCTCTCTCTCTGACAAGAAAATAAACATTCTGCATTACTTGTGAACACGTGCAGAAGAAGAAGACTTACAACTATTTTACATCAACTGAAATCTACATGATTTTTTTTGTATTTATCAATTCACTTATCAGAGAGACAGCTCAAATATTATAGATGCACCTGGTTTAATAATGTGCTAATCTAAAAAACAAAAACAAACCACAAATCAATAAATTTTTACAGGACAATAGGTTTTGTTCATGTGACATCACAACATCACAAAGGGCCTATAGTTTATTATTATTATTTGTCTACCTTTATGGTGGAGGGCAGCTGAGCAATCTGTAACTATGGTTACTGTCAAAAGTCAGAGTTTTAGTTTAGAACCAATTTGTCTTTGAAACATAAACTTCAATCAATCTTTATCCAAACAATAAATATATATCCAATCAAACACTACACAGTATATTCATGTTTTTTCCTGGGTTAGGCTTTTCTAGGGGGAATTAGGCTTTTTATCTGTTCGTCTTTTAACAAAGCAGATCTGGAAGTTTGTGTAAAAGAGGCCTATAACTTATTTACACAGTGGGAATTGAAATATAAAATTAAGATATAAGTTCAGTTACAGTGCGAGGTTTATACATAGACTGTACATTAGGACTAGACTGGCAGAGTGCAGATGTCATCGAAGTGTTACAAAGTGGGCGGCACGGTGGCTGAGTGGATAGCACTCTCGCCTCTCAGCAAGAAGGTCCTGGGTTCGAATCCGGGTCGGACCAGGGCCTTTCTGAGTGGAGTTTGCATGTTCTCCCCGTGTCTGCGTAGGTTTCCTCCGGGTACTCCGGTTTCCCCTACCACTAAAAATATGTCCAATAGTTCTGGCATGCGCCTCCTGTACTGGCGACCCCGCTCCCATCTCTGTGTGGAGTGAGAGACAAATGCCCAAAATTAACAATTGTAAACCGCTTTGAGACTCAGATTTGCAGTGAAAAGGCGGTATATAAATAAAGATTACTTAAAGCGGATGAAGCTGTTTTGAACATAACCTAGCTGGAGACAATTTCATTATATGGGCATTTGTTACCACGCCTTTAGCTTCGCCATAACAGGAGCTGACGTGTTTTGAAGACGTTTGCTAAGACACGTTGGATTTTCCCGTAAATTCAAGTATATGATTGGGCAATCCCTACTGTATATGGCTCATATCTGAATTTACAATCTCAACATAAACAGAGATCGTTTATGTGTCACAAACAGTTACTGAGCCAGACTTACTTCTTCATTGTGAGTCAATAGGAGCCAGATCAAGTTGGAACAAAACTTGAGAACCATGAGCAGTTTCCTGTTAGGCTTCATTGATCTAGTGGGTTAGCATTGTCCATCTGTATACAGTCTATGGGTTTTTGACAATAATAATGATGTATTTTTCTTGTAGTGCGCTTTACAGGCTTGGTGTGAATGGGTTAGAGCACAGGAACAGCCTGTACCCAGCTGTACATAGCGGAACTAGATGTCACCAGTTGTTTTTGATGATATTTCAGTGTTTCTTTATTACCAATTGCTTACATTTACACCATGCATGTCATGAACTGCCACCTTTCCCCTTACCTCACAGTAAACAGGGCATTCTTGAAATAAAATGCGATCATGTGATTGACCGGCTCAGGGCAGGGTCTGGCCTTTCAGCTACTTGATATGGTAAAGTAAAGTAAAGGCCAGCATCTATTCCTAGTGCTGACTAGATCCCACCAGTCCGCCTCCCACTGGGTCGGAGTAACGGGACACCACCCCTCATGTGACGAAACCCAATACTCTGAATGGTCTTACACACACACTCAATATTTACAATACTCCAGGATATTTCCACTGAAGTCTTGCACCAATACCTGAGTGCGTGTTATGAAATGTTTCGGCTGTCTTGCGTGGATGAATTTAGTCGGTTTTTACAAGAAACTATGACGCACAAGGCGGGAACATGATAGTAGATTTAACGATTTCTATTTGGGGAAGCCAGGTGTGGCGACTGCACGGTGGGAATGTATTAAATGTAGAATGTTATGTTGGTTCAATGTGACTGTGGTATAGAGGCATTCATGTCACACAGAGATACAGTGAAAGAAGAGGCCTGTAGAAGTACGAGCCTGGGAAGTTTGTAGCCCTAAATCACAACAATAGTCATCTTGGAGGACTTTGCAATGTTCTCGATTCCTCAACAACAGAACAGAAAATCAAACAGTTCGAACACAGAAAACGCACTTATAACAAACACATAGGGGCCATTGGTCCAAATTTAGTGGGATAACCAACATCCTTAAATGTGCTTAAATGTCACTGTTCTCAGACAGGTAGAGGGATCCACTGCCACTAGCCTGGTCTTACCACACGATCGTACACATTTAATTTCGTACTTAGTTCTAAATTTGCTCCATTGAGCTCTACAGGTGGGAGGGGTTAACTCCTTTGGCAGCTTGAAACAATTGGATCTGAGTTTACCGTGACGTATGTAATGCGCCCGAGTGAGCCGCTAGCCTTTAGCATTTAGCCTTGCTTTAGCCATCTGCTTTGCCACTAACGGAGCCCGTGGGGAGTAGAGCCACAAAATCTTTACTAGCAATGACATTTGCTAAACAATTCTCTTGTTACGGCTTACATTTCTTTCTTCTTCATTTACAACCAGCAAATTCTGCGCAAACTCTTGATGTCACCGACACCTACCTACACAAACCCAGACGGTACATGTAAGAAAATAATAATTGACCGGAGTTTACGGATGGTTAAGGCCAGGCTACATACGGACAGACTGTACAGTAGACGTAATCTTTATTTATACAGGCAGGCAAGTGTATTTGTATAGCACAAAACAATAAACCAAAAAATTTAAATGAAGCAGTGCAAGCTTCCTTACTCTCTTTATCTTATATGTTTAAAGTGATAAGGAGATGTAAATGTATACGAAAGACACCATGGCTCTTCGAATAAGGTGGCATGACTAAACATGGGTTAAGTGTTTCAGATTTAAGTAGCTAAAATCTGGAACAGAGAGAAGCTTCTGCTCCGAAAACGTTCACATTTTAGTGTGCTGTGAGTATTTACGATTGTAATGTCTGTTGTGTGATGGTTTCTATGTTGTTTTGTTAAGCACTTTGAGTTTCCTTATGTATGAACTGTGCTATACAAATAAACTCTGCACATCGGTTTACCTTTGTGGTGTTGCAGAGATAGCGCATCACTTCTCCGATGTACTGAATCACAGTCACATTGTGTTTCCTGCAGTCGTCCCAAAACTGAGAGGCTGAAAACTTCCTCCGCAGAACTATAGTCGACCCTGAAGACAAAGTTTATTACATTCTTCAGTTGTATTTGCAGGGTTTAAAAGAAGCCCACACTTACACATTCAATTGAGCATGTTCTTAACCTTGACTCAAACTGAATGGAGACTCTATACTCTTCATACTTCACCTTTCATCATTATGACTTCAGCCGTAGTCTATTCATTGCTATTCACCCACTGTCCCATTGTCTGTTTCATAGCGTGTTGATGGGACCCCCTTTTCTTTTAAAGAGGCCGGAGCTGTCTGGACTGTCTTCCCCCGGCCGCGGGCTGAGGGAGTGGATCCCTCTCTCAATGTGGGTCTCCCCGAGGTTTCTCCCTTTTTTAAGTTTCAGGACAGTGATGATTTGGGACAATGGGACATTGATTAACATTTATAGACATTGATCATCCAGCTCCCTATGGACCAATGGCGCCTATAGATAGATAGATAGATAGACACTTTATTGATCCCCATAGGAGAAATTCAGGTGTAGCAGCAAAAATAAAAAATAAAATTGATCCTTCTAAAAAGTAAAAAAATAGTAATAATCAGCAACAGCCCTTCAAGTGGAGCAGGTGGAGCAGGACGGGTCACAGCAGCATAGGTGGAGTAGCCTCTGGGTGGAGCAGGACTGGTGGAGTAGCTGCTTGGTTCGGACCATTTTCGCTGCTCTAATCCAAAGTAAAATGCTAAATGCTTCAATAGCATTTTTCAGTGCAAAACCATGAACACTGTACTGCACCAACATCTCAGGTAGAAAAAAGCAATGCAAATTTAAATTCAAAAGCACAAAACAACAACTGTTTCAGAGCTACTTAGGACTTGCAGCCGTTTTCCAGCGCATTCAAAAGTAAACAATTTTCCAATTTATCAACTGTTTGATTGTCTGATCTGCCGTTGGTGAATCCACAAGAAAAAGTCCTACACGAAAATGTGGAAAACACAAGAACCGAAACACAGAAAACCCCCTCAAAAAAGATAAGATTCATCTCAATGGGGCTATTCTTCAATTAACACATTACACAGAGGCTCAGACTTGAAAACAGGATAATAGGTCATGAGGTTTAAGTCCACTTAGCAGCAGATTAGATTTGTCAAAAGACTTTTCATTTAAACCCTCCTTGAGGAGCTGCGGCCTTTAATGATGTAATAAATATTATTGTTATATAAGGATGTTACAGTTACAAAAACCTTTGTAGAGAATAGTGTCTTTCTTCAAATATCACTAACTAGCTAATTACATAGTAACAAAATACAATTTCATCTGGAGAGACTATACAGACACAAAATTGCAATTAATTATTTATTCATTTATTGGTTTGGCACCTGAGGCCCCTGCTGCGGCACTTTGTCTGAAGATCATCCCTTGTGTGCCGCTTATGATCCCTCGGGACCTACTGGTGGAGGAATGAGGTCCAGGTACTGGTGGTGGCATGAGGGTGCAGTTGTGATGAGAGCGTGTCCTCGAAGGTCGAGGAGGAGGTGGGAAGTGGTAGTTTCGAGGCGTGAGTAGACGGTAGTGACGCCAGAACGAACAGTTAGTTGTTGGGAATATTATCAGTCGTGTTTACAGAGTGAGGAGTGTGAATGCGGCTCCAGAGCTCTGCATGCAGCACAGGAGATTTTATAGACTTGAAATACTAATACTATATTTTTATAAACTGAGGAAAGCTCAGGAACCTGATAGGAACCTGTAAAGGGCTGGGGTTTGCCCACCACTGGTCTGACAGTGAGGCACTGGGACATCTATTCACATTTATGAACCCTTTGGACCAAAGGCTCCTATGTGTTTGTTATTGTTGCGTTTCCTGTGTTCAAACTGAGTCTCCGATCTGTTTTTGGTGAATTGTTTGTAAACTAGTAAACTTTGTAAAGGGATCACTGCTGCTATTATTTAGAGCTGTACACCAACATATTTAATTCATTTTAATTTTCAATGACGAGTGCCACGGCTCAAACAGGTTGGGGAACACTGCGATAGACTGAAAGTGTTTTAACGCACTGTTGACTCGTGATGATCAGTGAATCCAGTCTAAACGTTGATCCCGTTCCTAGTATTTGAATGAGTCAAACAAATACGTCAATAAACTGTCCTGTGTGTTTGTCATGGTTTCGGTTAGGCTTATTACCCTCTGTCTTCCCAAGTTCTACTTCCTGTTGTGTGATGACCCGCTCTGCCCTCATGTGTCGTAAGCCCCTCTGTACTTTGTCATCCTTCACTCCCTTTCCCGTTATTGTCGTTGACCCGTCTCTCTTTGTTTTTTGTCTTAACCACCGGTTTGGTTGTTCTCTATACTAACTCTTTTTTTGTATTGACTATAATCAATTAAAATCATATTACATTCCTTTTTTGTGTCATTCTTATGAGCCACGAGACTGTATTTCCCTGCATTTTCTTGTGTCGTCTCTCCTGTTTACATAAACACACTGAAGCAGGAATATGTGCTACCACATCAGTTCTGATAGAGCTGTGTCCAAATTTGTTCCTACATGCACCCTGGGAAGCGCTCTAAAAAAATTAAAGTACATACACTGGTCACTTTGGTATGTAAGCCGCAGAGTTCAGATTTGAAAAAAGGTTGCTAGAATGTATTCAGTAATCTGTATTCTGACCTTTCTTCACCTAATGGACATGGACCAAGACCCAACCTTTTTTCAATGTATGTTTCAGTAATTGGATGAGAGTAACTTTCTACAGTCCAGATAAAATGTAGCCTGATCGTACCACACCATAGTACAAATTACATTTCTGATCTGGAGGTGCTCCATTGAGCTCCGTTAACAGGTGGGAGGGGTTAACTCCTTTTGCAGATTGAAACAATTGGATTTTGGAGTTTACCGTCACGTATGTAGTGCGCCCGAGTGAGTCGCAAGCATTTAGCATAGCCATCTCCTTTGCCGCTGTTACGGACCAAGTCCTTTTGGTTTTGGTATTTTGTTTCTCCTTGCCTCCACCTGTCAGACCCTCCCACCTCCAGCTGAGTGACGTCCGACTCACACCTGTGGGTAATCAGCTGGGAGGCATAAAGGGCCGGGATCGAGACCAGGCTCACTCTCTCTGCCACTTCGACCGTCCGTTGGACCAGTGGGTCCTGTCGCTGCACCTCACCTCTTTTGGAGCATTTTGTTTTGTGATCCGAACAGTGGTTCTTTTGCACATTTTTAATAAACCTTTTACTTTTTGGACCTATTGCATTCTTTGCCATTGCCAAACTACAACCAGCTCGTTCGGGGCAAACTCTTGACGTCACCCACAACTACAACACCCAACTCCCGCGCTCGCTGATTGGTCGGATGGAATTCAACCGATTGTAATCGCAAACACAGGGACCAGACCCAGACGTTACATGCAGAGGAGTCCCTTTCCATTAGGCAAGGCAGGCAGCCGCCTGGAGCCCCCAAACCGGCAGGGGGCCCGCGAGGGCCGACTGATTTGACACAAGCGGTTGAATTGTACAGGCTACAACAGCTACTTGCAGTGACGAGTTGGCGGATAAAAACTTCTCGTCTGATGCAAAACTATCTACGTTCTTCATTAACGTAGATAAGCCTGCCTGGAGTAGCATGGAATATTGGTCTAGTGGTTAAGTTGCAGCGCTTGCGCTACGATAGCTTGGGATCAAATCCGAGTGAGGCCTATGTTTAGGATTTAACTATATATATTATATTCTATCACAGATTGCTCAAGAACGGTAAAAGGTATAAACAAGTCGTTTATTGCAGATTAAAGCTAAGAGCCTAATCTTTCTTTTGGCCCTCAGTGTTTATATAGATGATTTTGAGACACTCGTGAGAGACTTTGACATTTTTAACACATCAATCATGTCAATAAAATCTCACATTTTCTTCTTAAAAGTATATTCTTGAGATTCTGAAAGACTTGCACCTGTATTTATCTCTGGTAGAAGAATACAACATTTAGAATTATTACCTAAGGACACAACAACAGTTTGGCTTGTTCCAATGAAATTCTAATGATATCCATCCATCTATTTTCTTCCGTTGCCGGGATGTAAGGGCAGCAGTCTGAGCAGAGACGGCCAGACTTCCCTCTCCACACACACATCCTTCAGCTCATACAGGGGACTCCTGAGGCGTTCCCAGGCCAGCTGAGAGACATAGTGCCTCCAACGTGTCCTGTCTTCCCCTGGTCCCCTCCCAGTGGGACATGCCCGGAACACCTCCTCAGGGAAGCGTCCAGGAAGCATCCCAAACATCCCTGAGCCACTTCAACTGGCTCTTGTATTAAATTAAATGTTATTTTTATTTGAGAGGGATGTTTTTATACAATCTCCCAATTCTTGGATGATTTTATTGTTGTGTTGCTTTTAGTTGTAGTGTGGTTCTCACCTGTCTCGATGGACCCGATGAAGCCGATGACGAAGCCGGCGGTGTGGTACAGCGGCAGGTTCAGGTAAATCACATCTTCAGAAGAGACACCGCTTGACGACAGAACCGCGAGAGCCATCAGCAGCCGAGTCTGGTTCACGACAGCTGCCTTTGGGAGACCTGCACGCAGAAGAACTTTCATCTTTTAGCCTAATTTTAGTTCATTTCCTGTAGTTAAACAGTTTTTTAACAGAAATTTCGAAAAAAAAATAGCAATATATTTTCTAAGAACAATATGCGCAGGTCAAGAGTCAAGATTCCAGACTTTGTCCGGAAATAAGTTGGATTCACAAAGAAAACATGAAACAGTATAAGACTGATCCAGTTTAAAAACTGTTCAAGGTAATGAAAGAAAAGATTCACAGAGAAAGAGAGAAAATTACAAACCGTTTTGTACCGCGTCATGTGTTACACTTCAAAGGTATTATTTTTCTGTCTTTTATTATCATTTTTGCTGCAAGATTATTAAATGGATTGGCATATCCAACTGGACACATTTGCTTAACCGTTTATATTTTAAGTTATTTTTTATCTCCAGTAACACTAACACATCACTTTTCAACGCCAAAGTATCACCATAATATATATCTGGTGAGTAACTGGTGGCATGTTTGATGGTGAGCATGTGACATTGGACTGGAGCCTCCAACATGGTCGCTGTAGTCTACTCTACATGCTCTACGTGTGTGCCACTGTCAAGGGCCCAGTGCCTTTGGAATGTTGTAGGGCAAGTGTCTCCAACCTTTTTCACCCAAGAGCTACTTTCCTGGGACGATAAAGGCAGAGAGCTACTCCTTTAAAGCTGCATTACCTCACTTTATTTTTGTATTCATTACAAAAATTCAATCCATATCCATAATGCTTTGGGATATACGTCCTTTTAAAGAAAAAGTAGCGCAGATTTGTGCTGCCGTGTCATTTTATTTTAGATCAAGTTTTTGTGCAACAAGGAAGAGAATTTGTTTCGGGTCCAGATTGTGACCAATCACAACGGACCACTGGCCCCCGCTTGAGAAAAGCTACAGGTCTCTTGTTAGCACAGACAGCGGAGGTAAACAAGCGGCGGAGGCTAACCTGAAACTTGCCGTGTCTTCGTTACATTTTACTGTTTACACAGCGAAACAGCCATGCAAAAGAAAGTCTCGATCCTCTCTGCGCTTCCCGGTTCTATCGTTCCATGGTCACGCCATCCACGTTCAAATGTGGGATCCATATTTTGAGACGTGAGCTCCATATACAATTAGCACATGAGCACAGGCTGAGGGGGAGGGGGGTAGTGGGGGGCGATAGCTTCGTGAGTGTGGGGAGGGGGGGGCAGAAAGAGCAAGGCCAGCGCTCACATTTGAAAGTTTAGTGGCCCTGGGAAAAACTGTGGTGAAATATTGGTGTGAATAAGCCTGATATCGGGTACAGTCATTATTTATCATTGTACATTTGTTACTACAAAGTACAAAGTAAATGCCATTCATCCATTTTCTTCCCCTTAATCCATTTCTGGGTCGGGGAGGTGGCAGTCAGAGCTGCACCCAGTTGACGTAGCACCAGCACCTCACTGATCCTCCTACAGGTGGTGAGTCCACAGGAGCCTTGATTATTCAGCACGGGCTTCAGGCAAAGATACAATCTGAAATATGAAGTATATTATTTGATTTGTTAATTTCTAAATCCTTTGGCGAGCTACCTGGAAGGGGATGGCGAGCTACTGGTGGCTCCCAAGCTACAGGTTGGAGACCGCTGGTGTAGAGGCTCTGTGGCAGTCCCAGTGCAGCCTCTGGGGCCCATCTCCAGATGCTGCATTACTCATTGGGAAAGCTATAGGCCCAGTACATTAACAATCTTTCTTTTTAATGTACTGTGATTATTTATGATTTTAATGACTTGTGTGATTGTTTCTATCTTGTTTTGTTCAGCACTTTGAGCTTCCTTGTGCATGAATTGTGCTATACATCTTTATCTTAATAAAGAAGCCGTATAAAATTAAGATACAATACATTTTATTGATCTCAGAATACTGCATACTCTAGAGCAGGAAATTTATACTTGTATGTATACATCTGCAATACATACATTCAAGTAGGCAGGTGTCCAATTAGACAGAAATGGACATAACTGGGAATCTGTCGTGATGTATGGCCCCAAAACTGGAACTGACCGTAAGAAATAGGTCACGCTACCAAGCTAAAATTAAGGTATTTTTTGTTTGAATTCCTAAACAGTGCTGTGATTGAGACAAGAATAATTTTGTTCTCTCTGACTGATCATCAATCACCTTGAGTCCAATACAAGCTCATCTCTTCCCTTCTAATTTTGTTTTATTCCATCAATTCCCATAGCCTAATGAAATCTGAAAACGCCCAAAATAATCTTCTCCAACCTGTTGTGCCGGATGTGTATATGTAGACAGCTGGACTCTTGAATGTGATGTGTGAGCGGAGTGACCGTGGGAGTGGACAGTCAGACGATGTGTTCGCTTTCTCTGTAAAACTCAGGATTCCCGGTGTGGAGCTGTGGTTGTCCATAAGCAGCACTGTGACGCCCTGTGGTGTCAGTGAAGGCACCACATCCTCCACAGCGCTCCTCAGCTCTGCAAACACAAAGGTGGGCATGCAAACGGTCAGATAAAATTGTTTCTGTCTTGTTATTTTGAGTTTTTGCCTTTAGAGTTTGATTGAGTTTGTTTGTTGAGTATTTGAGTGGCCTTGTGTATGAACTGTGCCATACAAATAAACTAGCCTTGCCTGTGTGTCTATCTATCAATCTATCTGTCTAACTATCTATCTAAGTATCTATCTAATTCTATCTAACTAACTATCTATGTATCTATCTTTCTAGGGCAAAGTTACCAGTTATTCCAATTGTTTTTACCGCAAAAAACTGAATCTGAAACACAGGCCTGTAGGGGCCTTACCTGGGGCCACCATGAGCACCTTTGCCCCGCTGCAGCTGAAGCAGTGCAGGAGGCTCTTGGAGCGGATGTTGTGGTTGAGCAGCGCTGCGGGGGAGCCCAGTTTGGCCAACGCCAGCCACGTAAACAGAAACGTGGGCTCGTTTCCCATAAACATTGCCACCGTGTCCCCGGCTTTGTAGCCCGGCTGGGCGCTCAGGGCGTGCGCCAGCTGGTTGCTGCGCCTGTCCGTCTGCGCGTATGTGTAGCGCTCATTCTCAAACACAATGAAGACCTGGTCCGGACGCGCAGCCGTCTGCTCCAAGAAACGATCCAAGACGAAGAAGTTTGGTTTCCTCCTGCGACGCGAGGCAAACGTCACAATGATCTGCATTAACTCAAAAAAGTACTTCACGTCTGTCCAGAAGTATGGGCAATATGTGTTTACTGTGAATAAAAGGATAAAAACAGAACATAGAGCAATTGAAATGATGTAGAGGTCCATCGTGCGGACGAGGGTCAGGAAAGGAACCAGGTCAAGGCTCAGCGCAGAAAAATGTTGAGCTGCAGAATGGGAGCATGCAGAGGTAAAGAGGGATTTTGTTCAAGGGGCGTTACATTCATTAATTCCAACTTTGAGTAGTCTACTGACCAATTTCTGTGTTTTCTGTTAAAGCTGGGGTATCTTTTTTTTTAAAGTCAAGGACATTTATTGACATTTATTAAAATGAATGAATATAGGAGACACACACAGTTATATTTGTACACAACATTTATATCATCATATTTATCATGAATTAATCCATAATCTTATCTAATCTTCCGAAAATGTTTCCTATAACTTCCTATTAGAGTCCTAAATCTGGTGAAAGGTATTTTAGACCATTCTTCTTTGCAGATCATCTCTAGTTCAGTGCATGGAGCCCGTTTTAAATCACACCACAATGTTTCAGTAATCCTTAGGTCTGGGGACAGGTCTGGTAGCCATTCCAGAACATTGTATTTGTGCTTCTGCATGAATGCCTTAGAGAGAGTTTTAGCAGTGTTTGGAGCAACTTCCACTTTGTCACTGATTCCTGGACATTGTTCTCCAGAATTTGCTGATATTGAGTAGAATCCATGCATCCCAGTGCACTAGACACACAGCCCCACAGCGTGATGGAACCACCGCCACATTTTACTGACTGACTGTTCTCACCCTCCTGAGATTTTTCTTGGTCTGCAAATGTGGACCTTTACTAGAACTGTGCCTGTGGTCTTCCAATTCACCACAATGTTCCTCACATTTGTTGAATGGGCTATAGTTTACTTTTGAGGCTCTCATGTTGCCACTCTTCGAAGGGGTAACACTTAAATATCCTTTGTGAGGCTTGGATTCACTTGTGTATGGAAGGGTCAGTGAGGTTACAATCCAATTTTGATTACCAATATTTAGTGCTAAAGGTATTAAAATCAATAACATTTCAAAGGGTGTCTAAATGTATCCAAATGACATATTAAGTTTAAATAATTCCTGTGCACTTTCTGTAAATGATACAACATTTATTTTCTCTTCTCAAATATGACTGTGACCATATAGAGAGACTAGAGAGAGGCCAAACAACAGAGGGACCAGAGAGAAAGACGAAGAAAGGCCAGAGAGAGACAAGACATAGAAGACCAGAGAGAGACCAGAAAGAGACCAGAAAGAGACCAAAGAGAGAGGTCAGAGACAGAGACCGGACAGAGACCCGTGAGAGAGAACAGGGAGAGAGACCAGAGAGATATAGACCAGAAAGGCCAAATAATGATCAGAAAGAGACCAGAGAGAGATCATGAGACCACATAAAAGAGAGAGAGACTACCATACAGAGATAACAGTTCTGTCAGCTGTACAGGAGCTAAACTATTTAAACATATAAAAACATGCATCAGAATCTTATAATTAATCCTGAATGTGACAGGGAGCCAGCGATGTATGAGCAGTATGTATATTGAACAAATTAGACCTTGCATTCTGTCTTTATCTAAAGCAAACGTCTTATCGTTATTGATGCTTTGGGGTACGTGCTAATCGGCAGAGAACTGAATGGTCGTCTTGTTCAATCTGTCAGAAAAAGCCAACATAAAGATGAGACAGAGGCCAAAAATGCGTCCTTATGAAATAGAAGTAAGCTGTCTTTAGAGCTATAACTATAATAATGTAGATTTTATTGTAAACTTGTTTGTTTTGCAATATTAGTTAAATATTAATACCTGATTATGGCCCGACGTTGTGGCGCCACCTTTATGCGAAAGCCCAGTCCTGCCAAATGTTAGGAGCTAAGCAGGGCAGGGTCTGGTTAATACAGTGATGGAGACCGCTGCAAACAACAAGACACTTTATCCACATTGCCTGGTATAAGTCTGAAAGGTGAAAGGAATGGTTGATAATGAAACTGGATGAAATGAGACTGGATTCCAAAGGGTCTGAGATTTACAACAAGGTATAGCCTGACTGCAGTGTATTGGTGGAGCTGAAGTAAGGTGGCTGTCAAAGTGCCTCAATGGCGGCTTTGTGTTAGCAGAAGAGGGCCACATAAAATGATATATAGGGCCGCAATTGGCTCGCGGGCCTGAGTTTTGAGATCCATGTTGTGGTCAACTCATGAGAAAAACAATGCCTTAAACTATTTCTGTAATGAATGGATTATCAGCACTGAATAATTTCTAATCCCCACCTTTGAAAGATAATTAATTTGCATCAACTTTTGGCACTCCCAGCTGATCTGAAGCCCGGTCCCAGCCTGACCCTCTGCACTATGGGCAGTGATGGGCTGGACCCTGAATGGTCTCCTGACCTTTGGTTTCTGCTTAAGATAATCTCGGTTAGTTGTGAAACACAGAACAGAGAACAAGTCAGTTTACCGCTGGCATATACCATTGAATCATCTGTATCTACAAAGGTAAACGTGGGTTGTCTATTGGCTTGCCGAGAGAAACACATGAAAACACAGTAATAGAAAATGTGGCGGAGAAATACACTTCCAAAACCTTCCAAATCATCTGGCAATTCTTGTGTTAAAGCTGGTTTTGTACAGAATCATGACATACCGACAGAAATGGCACGGTGCCCATATAAGGACACTTAGCCAATAGGTTGGGGGGTTATCTCCCAAAGTGCGCGTTTGTGCCCGATGCTCCTCTGCTGATAAGAATTTGCTGCGGTAAGGGATTGGGTTTCAGAGAAAGACTATTTCTCTGTCACGTTGCTGCTCAAGAAAAAAATCCAGCCAATGACCTGAGAGACACGTAGCCCTGGAGGTATAAAGTGAGGCTGAGGAGCGCGTGTCTCCATTGGTGCGTAAAACCAGGAGAAGGACGTATTCGCCGTTTGAGTCTGCATTCACTCACTATAGGACCGGACAATGCTGCGGGTCAGGTGTCTCAGAGGAGGTAGCAGGGGCGCAGAGGCTGCCCACCTGATTGGAGCCATGGTTGGTATCTCTAATCTCAACACAGTCATTTATGTATTTTACTGGGACACATCTAACGCACTGGAGAACAGGGGGAGACCCGTCAAAAGCATCCGTAGCCTTTACACAGTAGCCCTACAGAATGGAGCTGGACAACGAAAAGAACTCCAGGGAAAGGAGCAATACAAAACACAATAATAATAAAAATGTTACGCATGCGTGCAACTTGCTGAACGAATGTAAGTCTGGTTGTTTCACATTACACGCTCAAACATTTTTGCAGATGTTCGTTTCTTTCCCCGTTTTTAAATCTTCTACTCTTTCAAAGACAGTTTTTCGTCTCTCTCTCTCTCTCCCTCGCTTTCTCTATTTCTATCCCCCTCTCTCTCACTCTTTCTTTCTCTACTTTTTTCTGAGTACTTTCAATCTTCCTTACTTTTTTCCTTCATTCTATCTCTATCGATCTCTCTTTCTCTCCGTTACTTACTATTAACCTTACTTTTTGAGGTCTTCATTGATTTATTAGTCCTTTTTTATTTCTTTTTCTCCTTTTTGCTCCATTGTGCATTGTTACTGAGCTACTCCTTTTTTTATAAGCTTTTTTTAGTTTTTTTTTTTTTTTTTACTGGAGAATTGTGATTTGTGTGCTCATTGAGAGATTGTCGGGAACGTAGCCATTGGTGTGAACCCTTGGCGTCAGACGTGCATGTAACGTGCCTGTTGGAGTGACAGCGCGCAGCTGTTTGGCACAGATGCGCTCCCAAACTCGCTGACCTTCTGCGATAAGGCTCCTTCACAACACGTGTACTTTGACACTGAATAAATGGCGTCGCGGCAGGCATATGCTCAGATCTCATCACTTTTGTTTGATTTGTTCCTAAAGCTTCAGGATAATGGGCCTGTCCAAACTACGGCCCCTGCGCAAATTACGGCCCAGAGGCGTTTTTTCTTGGCCTTTCTTAGTGTCAGTGTTAAGTAGCCCAAATGAAGGGTTCATTTGAAAAAACAGACATCTCCATTTTGAAAATTCATCAAGTTGATGAAACTATATTTAAACTGTCTTTTCACAAAACGATTTGTCAAAAGGAAAATTGTAAGGCTTTCAAAAAATTCTGACGGCAATATCTGTTATCTAAGTATCTTATTTAAACTGGAGTACCTAACGTTTTCTAACTGCAATGTCCTTTTGGGAGCATGTTGCATTCTAAATTGTTTGGTTCTGTGTTTTTTGGACCCTTGGTTCCGGTACAGGTACAGGCTTGAAAAGGAGTTGGATTAAATATATTTTATCCCTACCCCCTCTCATCCACTCAACACAATAATGCACAGAATACAATACAATTAATACAAGAATACAATATGATAACTATACAGTACATACAGTATTATACAATCCTCTACCATAGCATATATCATGTGTGATCAACTTTGGCTCCACGTTGATCTCTCATCCTCCTCTCCTCTCTTCTGTCATGTAGATGGGGCGTGCTGTCACAGGCTGGACGCAGAAGGCGCTCCAGAGCAGCTCCAGCGCCGCCGTGGCCCAGTCTCACCTGGAGGACGAACACGTTACTGAGGCCGCGGCGCAGGACTGCCCAGTCAGCAGCTACAACGAATGGGACACACTGGAGGAGGTCATCGTGGGCCGCGCCGAGAACGCCCGCGTGCCGCCTTTCACCGTGGAAGTGAAAGTAGGTCGTGAATAACCTTCTACACCTGAATTGGCTTTCTGATTCGAGTTTGCATGTTCTTCCTGTGAGATAGCTCAGTAGCTGTCCTTTCTCTGGGGACAGGACTTTGAAATCTCAGTGGGACTTTCCCGGTTACATAAAGGTCAATGAATCGGTTGGCGAACAGGTGCCAATACATTGCTATGTGAAATAATCTATTTTTTTTTTATAATTGTTGAGAAAGAAAATGTCCCTATTCCAGATCATTCTTATGTCTGAAAGTTCATCCTACTCACACACATCCTGCATATTATAGATTTTTTAATATTGTCACTGCTTCTAGACGCCTTCTCAGAAAATAATCAGAGCATGGTTTATATGCGCTGATAAAGAAGAGGTGGAACTTTGTGACAGTTTTGGTTTCATGTGAATTGGCCTTATCCTGCGAACACCAGACTAAATATCACAAGAAAATAGGTCTATGTTGTGCAGCTTGAAACGATTCGAGCAGCATGGATATTCCAAGGTTAGACTGGCCCAGGAATTACAGAAAACTAAGAATAGGCATTTGATTTTTGACATTTACCATAGTTACCAGGAGCAATTTTTCCACTGCCCTCCACCATCATATTAAACTATAGCCTTTTTGTAACGTATTAAGACCAGGGGTGTCAAACCGGTCCTCAAATGCCTGATTTTCATTCCAATCAAGCAGGAGGACACCAGACTCCACCCATTTTTCTCAAGTGAGTCCAGTCTTAACCTAAAGACTTGGGGTGACATGGGCGGAGTCTGGTGTGCTCCTGGTAACTAGAACTTGCTCTTCTATGGCGGAAAACCAAGCTGAACCAGTCCAGGACAAGCACATTGAAGAGAAGGGCTTTAGCTGCCATAGCATGTTGGTTGTCAATGAAAACATGCAGCCACACCCTTTCTGGAACCAGTCTGACACCCTTCTGGAGTACAGTCTATATTTTTAACCCCTTTACTCTATTTTGATGTGTTGTATTTTTCACCTGCAGGCAAACACTTATGAGAAGCATTGGCCTTGGTATCAGAAGTTCGGAGGCCAGTCTTTCCCTGTGGACCACTTGAAAAAGGCAGTTTCTGAAATTGAAGAAATGTGCAATATCCTGCGCCATGAAGGAGTGACAGTGAGACGCCCTGAGCCGATCGACTGGTCCATGGTTTACAAGACTCCAGACTTTGCATCCTCCGGTACAACGCACACATGGCCCTCTATACAGTTTATCCATACACTTTGCAGTGATTGTTATAACAAAAGTCTGGTTGATTTGTGTAGGCATGTATGCAGCTATGCCCAGGGACATCCTCATTGTGGTGGGGAACGAGATCATCGAGGCCCCAATGGCCTGGAGGTCCCGCTTCTTTGAGTACAGAGCTTACCGGCCCCTGATCAAGGAGTACTTCCAGAAAGGAGCTAAATGGACCACTGCTCCTAAACCCACGATGTCGGACGAGCTGTACGATCAGGTGAGCTCACGGCCTTATTGGTGGCTGAGATTTAGGTGTGGGTTAGATCTTTATACATTGTGTATTTATAATCTTTGTATAACACAAAGTTAAAGAATATATGATCACCTACCCCTCATGCCACTTGCAATCTATGCATTTGATAATAGCAAATTAATGAAATGCAGGCAGTTAGATCTAGTGTCCGCCCGGGCCTCTCTGTGTGGAGTTTGCGTGGATGATAAGACAATCGCCAATATATAAGTTTGCCTTGGTATTCAGCTCGCCAAATCATCAAGTGAAAAACTACTAAATCATTTAATGCAATTCAATGTATTTGGATAGCCCTACATTACAACAGCAGTCATCTCGGAGGACTTTACAAAGTTGTCAATTCACCAACAATGCATCCATTCAGGAAATGCAATAATAACAAACACATAGGAATCATCGGTCCATAGGGAGCGGGATGACCAATGGTTAATTTCCATATATGTCTTTAAATGTTCTGGATCAACACTGTCCTTAGACCCTCCTGCATCGGGAGCTGGTCATACTGTCATAATAATCAGCTCAGCTTTAACATAATTGCACAAAAGGACTTCCTCTGGGTTCTCCGGTTTCCTTGAATACCCAAAACATCCTCCATATTACAAAGAGTTAATTTTATGTAAAGGACATTCGTGTAATAGAGACAAATATGAAACCGGTTTGAAGACAGGGCTATATAACTTTGCTTCGTTGGCGAAAAGACTATTTCTGAAATCTACGTGGTTTGCACCTGTTGCGCTGTGTAATACTAGATTCAATACGGATGTCCTGAAGTTTAAGGGTCATGAGTAGTGAAACCTAAAAATAGACTGAAATTATGCTAAAACAGTGTGGTTACGCAACGCACACACTTTATGTAATGATGAATGTAGCATTTCTTTAAGACGTTGTGTTATTATAGGACTACCCCATTCGCACGGTGGAGGACAGACACAAGCTCGCGGCGGAGGGAAAGTTTGTGACCACGGAACATGAGCCCTGCTTTGACGCCGCTGACTTCATCCGAGCTGGACGTGACCTGTTTGTCCAAAGGAGTCAGGTACAAACACTCATTGGTAGTTAATAATAATAATAATAATGAAAATAATATTTTTTTTTTACATTGCACCTTATATTTCCTGGAAACCTCAAAGTGCTACAGATTAAAATACAAAACCACAAACAACAAAACAATCAGAAGTACCTAAATGCATCAAAAATGGGGCTCATTCATGAAACCGTATTGGCACATGTCCACACATGTGTTTCTTAACGGGAAAGATTACTCAAAGATACATATTTCAAACTTTTAACACTAGAACTGGAAAGGTAATGATACGTTTTTGCTTTTCAAAACTTTTATATGTAGTTTTTTTCTACGTGATTGAATTTATGTTATTATAATTTTTTTAAATTTGAGTAGTTCTACCTTTAACTCCTAGAATGCAACCCTTAAACAAATTGTTCTGCTATATTTCAGATTACAGTAACAAGTTTTAGCACTTTCCGAAGTCTATTGATTTGAATGTGACCCGTCAAAATGACTGCTCTGCGAGTTTCAGTGTTATTAGTTCTATCTACCTGAAGGCAACACACCATGTCCCCTGGGAACCTATAAAGGTTTAGAGCAGTGGGAATATTATTATAATTTTTTGTATATTAACCATTAAATGTGGTGTTCGTACCTTGAGGATAGTGTGAGAACGGAATCTTTATTTGTCTTTTTAAACATGCTTCTTTATGAGCTTAAACATTCACTGCTGCATATGTTGCCATGAATCAAGGACAAGCTGCTCAAACAATATTATATCAATTTGTCCTTGTAGCTGTTGGTACAAGATTTGTCATAATCTGATCTAAACCAGAAAATACACCACCTGACCTATAACACTGCTATACAGTATTACCATTGCATTACTAACTGTTTTTAACATGTCATTTGCCCTTTATGGACCAATGGCTCTATGTCTTTCTATCATTGCATTTCTTGTGTTTGAACTGTTTGATTCTCTGATCTGTGGGCCATACAATAATACATTGAATTGAATGTTTCATTTCCACAGGTTACAAACTACATGGGAATCGAGTGGATGCGGCGGCACCTTGCTCCTGAGTACAAAGTGCATGTGATTTCATTCAAGGACCCTAACCCCATGCACATCGACGCCACCTTCAACATCATCGGACCGGGACTGGTGCTTTCCAACCCCGACCGGCCGTGTCGCCAGGTACTTCAGACCTGCACACAGCACTATCTGCACATATTCGTTTGACGGGACTTTTGACCCCTGTCTTTTATCTGTGACTTCAGATTGACATGTTTAAGAAGGCTGGCTGGACTGTTGTGAAACCTCCAACACCTTTGATTCCTGATGGTATGTGTCCACAGCTATTATTCTTACACAAGCAGAACGTGTCTTCCTGTTACTTACAATGTCAATAAATATAAAATTTCTTATTTAATATTTATTTTTATTTATAGATCATCCTTTGTGGATGTCATCCAAATGGCTTTCAATGAACGTTCTGATGTTGGATGAGAAGCGCGTAATGGTTGATGCCAATGAGACCACCATTCAAAAAATGTTTGAAAGTCTTGGTAAAGTTCATTTTATTCACTATGTAGCGTTGGACATGAGTTAAACATTTACTGTTAGCAACAATATAGTTCACAAGTTTATTACATATATTATACTTTACATTTGTTCATAGTTACTGTGGAATACAAACATAGTGTAGAGCAAGGACATTAACAATCCTACACAGATAAAACAAAATGAATCATAGTAAATTAAAGGTGCATTATGCAATGTTTTATGTAAAAAAAACTGTTAATATTTTTCCACTGGCTGTGTGAGGGGACAGCATGGCACTTTTGTTTTTACAGCAAGAAGGCCCTGGGTTTTATTCTACCTCTAGTCCTTACTGTGTGGAGTTTGCATGTTCTCCCTGTGTCTGCGTAGGTTTCCCCTAAAATCATATAATCATGTAATGAGAGGCTGCTTCCACTCTCTGTGGAATGGATGGAAAAAAAGCACTATGCGCACAGACCTAGGTCACACAATGTAAATAGAGGAAACATACTGACTTTCCATCACAGTGGTCTGTAGGATGATATAGGACTAATTGTTGGGCAGACACCAGCACCAGAAAACCTACAAAACAATGAATCCTGAAGCAAAAGTAAAGGCGCCATGCTGACAACTCTTACAGACACTGGATCACTACAAGCTCAAACACATAAAACGTTGCACAATGTCACTTTAAAAGAGTGAAGATTCAATCCCTCAATTGTATGCACAGCTAAACCTGGATTTCAACATTATCAGAGTAGAAGCCTCTCTGTCTCACATTTTCAGGGAGACTGTTCCAGATTTAAGCTGCATGCATCATGATAGCTGTTTGCAGTCATGTACCTGACGTGGCTTTGCTTTGTGCAGGTATAAAGACCGTGAAAGTGAGTATTCGTCACGCTAACTCCCTCGGAGGGGGCTTCCACTGCTGGACGACCGACGTGCGCCGCCGCGGGACTCTGCAGTCGTACTTCCACTAGCCGTGCCAGAAATGGGCAGTTTTTATTGAGCTGTGGACATCCAGCCCCAGTCCGGATGGTCTTTTAAATATGCATGTTTGTCTCTGTCCGGATTGGGTCTTCATGTCCAACACGTTTGAATTGTTTGATTTGACATGGCGGTGCTTTTAACTGTGCATTTGCAAACAGCTTTAAACAGAGAATTGGCTCTGATAATAAAAGAACCAGTTTCCTCTCACATCTCAATAATAACTGCATTTCTGGCCTTCACTACGAACGACATCTGGAAGTATTAACTCCGAGCATAAGGTACAATTTGGTATGTGATGTCACCACTTTAAGGGACCGCTGGCTCCTCATCCAACTATGGCATTTTTACAAACATTTTTTATTTTATCTTAACATGTATAGACATTGTACGTCATTAAAACTATAGCAATTATTTCTTTTGATGGGTATTTTGTAAAGATGTCCTGTTTATATTTTATATTGGATTTTCCCACTAAGGCTATTGTTTTTATATACCCGAGATTGTACACCTTTTGCCTCTGTAATCTTCTAACACCATTCTGGGCCAGTAATATGCTACTTTCTCACTGCTTAGCTGCTTCTATGGCATCAATGTTTTACTGTGTAGAATTCAAAGGACCGTAATTCTTGTGATGTAAAATGTCTTAATCAGCTTTGCGTGTTTACAAAGCCCATAAAGGGAACGCTGTAGCTGTCATGTTTTGTATGAATGTGAATAAACCAAAATAGTGCCATTAAAGATTCCTCCTCTGCATTATTTATGGCCAAACTGCTGTCATTGAGGAGGTGGAGGTCAGCGCTTTACGTAGCTGATAATGAAGGCAGCCCTATGTGTCTGTAAACATTAACTTGCAGATAGCCGAGAGCGAGATTGTGTCTCTGCGTCATCTTTAGATTTAGAGAGCCGAAAGCCGTTAACTCAGTGACATGTCTTTCACTCTACTTCACCCAGGTTAAATGATTTATTTGAACCCTGCAGAACTAACACTAGTAAAGGTTTGAAAATGGGTTCTTATCCCAACCCCCTCTCATCCATTCAACGCACAATAAACAGATACACAATACATACACAGAAAACAATACAATTAAATATACAGAATACAATATGATACTGTGATGTACAAACAGTAATATACAATGATAATAAATCGGTTTTGTACAGCACTTTTTTGGACGCTCCAAGTCTCTTCACATGGCATTATTAATTCACTTGAAAAACTACCATTGAAGGAAGTTGGGCACTTTGCAGCCGTTTCATTGTGGCTCCTGGTCATCCCAGTGGTCTCCCATCACAGTTCTAACCAGGCTCTGCCCTGCTTAGCTTCAAAAATATGATGAGATCTGACTTCCATATGCAAACCATACATTGTTGCCAGAGGGGACGTATGAGAATCAAAAAAGCAATCAAACACGCATTTATGCACGCACACACACACACACCTAACTGTGCTGTCCTTTCTTCAGTACAGTTTTTACAGGTTTGAAGATGTTTTTTTACAGTAGCGCATTATTGTACCTATCAGAGTATTGTAAGCCTATACATGGGCAGCATCTCAGATTTATGCAGATCTGGAACAGTCTCCCTGAAAATTGTGAGACATGCGTCGCCTGAAAATGTTCAAAACCAGGTTAAATCAATCTAATTATCCATCTATCTATCTATCTATCTATCTATCTATCTATCTATCTATCTATCTATCTATCTATCTTTCTATCTATCCATTGATCTATCTCTCCATATTTCCATCTATGAGCTACCTTCAATGTATTTAGAGCAGTAGCTGTTTTCATAATTTCACACCAACCCATTCAAATAGATACAAGAGGTGGATGAGTGGTTGTGGTCAGAGGGTCTTGGAGCTACTATTGCAGCCTCTCTATTGTCAGTCTGCCCCAAGGCATAATAATTACAGAAATTCTAAAGTGACATAAATAAAGATGACATACCTTCTTAAAAACCCGAAGTATGAAATTGATCAAAAGTTATTACAGTTTTTTCTCAGAAACAGTTAGTACATTTCTCAAAACAATTAGTACAAACTGCAAAACCTTGTGGATAACCTGCAAAACGGCGTCACTTTCTCGAAATGAAAAAAATATTCCTCAAGCCTTCCTTCATGCCGATGAAACTGTCTGTGTCATCCAAACAATAAGTCCTGACACCAGTGTTTATGAGCAAGAGTCAAATGGATTAATCAGGTTTTCATTGTGACAGTTTCCTCTCTCTGTGTTTTTTCAAAAGGTCATATCTTTGTGACTCTTGGGCACTATACACACCCTGTACAGCCGAAAACTACAGTAAAGTTACACATGACTGTATTTAGTGTCTTAATAATAATACATCGTTTTTATGGACACTGTCATTATTCATTCACTCCATACATGGTGGTGTAAACTACAACTGTAGCCACAGCTGCCCTGGGGCACACTGACAGAAGCGAGGCAACCAGTATACCACCACCAACCATTCACACACACACGTCTTGTATCTGAGTACAAGACACATAAGTATGTATGTATGTATGTATGTATGTATGTATTTCACATATTTACGGCATATGCTTTTTGTAATTCTACAGCATTGTGCAAAAAAAAAGAACCCATCACAGCGGGGAGATTTTCAGAAACAAAATGATAAAGGAATGTATGAAATTAGCTTGACGGATTTTGATTTTGAGAACAAGTTCAACAATTTGTATGTAACGAGTAAAGCAAAGAAATGAGGACTATTGGTTTTATAGAGAATGACTATTCAGAAGACTTATGTTTCATTTTGACTGACAGGACAGAAGCAAATGAAAATGTTATAAAACAGAAGAGAATTGTATGAAAGTAACAGATACATACATGTCCTCCCACTTTCCAAATACTATTATCTACTGCCATATAGTGGTTGCTTTTGCAAATAGCATAGGTTACTTGAGAAAAAAAGAGAATTTTATTTTTTAAGTAATACAGTTTTTCTCAGTCGCGTTGGTGCATTTCTCATCACTATTAACAATTTTACAGTTAGTGCATTTCTCAGAACAATTAGAACAATCTGCAAAACCTTGTGGATAACCTGTAAAAGTCACTTTCTCAAAATGCAAAGTTGATTTCTCAAAATAAAGTATTCATGTCAATGAAACTGTCTGTGTCATCAAAATAATAAGTCCTGACTCCATTGTTTATGAACAAGAGTCAAATGGATTAATCAGGTTTTCAATGTGACATTTCATTGTTTCCTCTTTCTGTGTTTTCCAATGAGGCAAAGTCGGATCTTTGTAACACTACCTGAAAATGCTCAAGACAGCACTACACACTGTATACACCATAGACTGTATATATTGTATACATACTCCACAGCATTGTGCAAACACAGGCACTTACTGTATTTACTGTGGAACAAACATAATAAATGCCATTAGGTAGAACTGTGCACAAATGTAAACAATACAACAGTAATATTAATGTAAACTGAACATACACTATCCCTATTTTCATCTACATCACAGCGGATGTCTTTCCTTGCAGGTTTTGACAATTAGTTCGACAATTGTGTATGTAATGACTCAAGCAATGAAATGAGGACTATTAGTTTTATCGGGATTGACTATTCAGCTTCATATGTTTCATGTTGACTGACAACAGCAGAAAATTGTATGAAAGTAACTGATGCCAAAAGCATTTGACATTTGTTCAAGGGAGAAACTGTTACAATGATGTGCACAAATGACTCAATGTTGTGGAGGTTGAACTAATAATTCTGAAAAATTTCATTCTGATCTGAGAAAAGCACCAAAGCGACAGAGAAAAACTGTAAATAGGCAAGTTTATTTGTACAGCAAAGTTCATAACCAAGGCATCTCAAATCAAGACAGAAATATTTAAATCATAAATAATGTCAGTTTATTAAAAGTAGTGAAGATACAATGCAGAACTGTTTTAACCTGGAGTTGATCGATGTCAGAGGAGAAGCCTGTTTCACATTTTCATTCACATGTTCCAGGTTTGTAGGTAACACATATTGGAGCCATGGAGTTACTTAATCCTCTGGCGCCCTCTTGTGGGAGGACCGAAGTTGTATGCCATGCCACCTGCAGGTGAACGACTGATGCCATGAGATCTCCAAACCGAAGCAGTTCATGGCCTGGTTAATGCTGTGATGGGAGACCTTTAGGAAATCTGAGGCTATAGAGTACCAAACAGTTGTGTCTTTAGGCAAGACACTTCACCTGCGTTGCGTTGGATGAGTCAGGTGTCTGGTGTGTGTGTGTGTGTGTGTGTGTGTGTGTGTGTGTGTGTGTGTGTGTGTGTGTGTGTGTGTGTGTGTGTGTGTGTTAGGGTTTGGGTTGGTGGTGGTAAATAGTCCTTGGGCAGCTGTGGCTAGATTCATAGATTATTACCGCCATGTCTGGAGTAAAGTGTCATTGGGTGTCTTAAAGAACACTATACATTATTATTCTCTCGGTAAAAAGGTCAGCTGGAACTTGAAGATATCAAATAATCAGTATGTTATTGTGTAGTCTTGCAAAATAGATCCCTAAAATACCCCTAACTCTATTGGCCTGACCAGAAAATATTATTATCAAATGTGTGTAGTTCTGGCAATAACTGTAAGTTATTTACATCCTGCATCTTTAACTATTTGGGTTTTTTCAAAAGACAATGTAAAGGATGATGAAACAGAGGAAAAAAAACAAACAAATTGGGTGCAAGGCGTGTCCCTAAGATTAAATTAAAATCAATAATTTCTATACAGTTGCTATATAGACAAATAGAAACCATAGAGCAGGGATGGGCAGCTATTCACTCCAAGAGGAGAGTTTTTTTCCCATCAAAAGTTGCATATTATCCAAGTAACTTTTTTAAATGCCTGAAGCTTTTGTTTATTTAACAAAACCAAAAATCCTCATCATGGACTGGATGTGGTGTAGCAGCAGAGTTGGAGAGCTCTGGAGAGTTTATGAGGTGGTCTTCCAGGTACAATGTATGCAACGTACATGCATACTCTCTGCTTTGCATTGCCTTAATAAATATACATCCATCCATTTTCTACCCTTGAATCCATTTCTGGGTCAGGGGGGTGGCAATCAGAGATGCCACCCAAGTCTCATAGCACCAGCCCCTCACTGACCCTCTGCAGGTGGTGAGTCCACAGGAGGACGGCTGCTCTCTGAGTGTGAGTATAGCCTTGATCTTTCAGTTGGGGCTTTGGGCAAAGTAGGGTTAAGTGTCTTGCCCAATGACACAACGACAGCAGTCATCAGTGGGAGTCGGTGGGGAAGGTGCAGAGGTGGGAATTGAACTCACGACCTTCTGGCCTTAAGGCCAATGCTCTACCAACTGAGCTACTGTTGCCCCCTAATAAATGTAATAAATATACATTCATTCATAATAATAAGTCTCATAAATACATTGTGAAAAACGCTCAGTGTCATATGTAAAGGTATAGCAAATAAAACTGTATACTGATCGCTCTCATATAAACTGTACAATGACCCGACAGTTCATCTGCAAAAACAGATATCTATGTTTGATTTTGAGCAGAACATTTGAAAGGATTTCAAAGGAGAGGTGAATGTTGTTGTAAATTTAAGTCTTTCAAATATTTTTCTATCTGCACTTGGGCAGCACGGTGGCTGAGTGGATTTCACAGTTTGCATGTTCTCCCCATGCCTGCGTAGGTTTCCTCCGGGAACTCCGGTTTCCCCTACCACTAAAAATATGTAAAATAAGTCTGGCATGCGCCTCCTGTACTGGCGACCCTGCTACAAAAATAACAATTGTAAACGGCTTTGAGACTCTGACCTGCAGTGAAAAGTCGGTATATAAATAAAGATTACTCACTTACTACTTATCTGTTTTTGCAAATCCCCTATTCAATTGTAATTCAGGAAATTTTGAGCAAAAACTATCGAAGAGTGTATATGTACACAGTTATATAAGAAACTATTTGGTCCTGTATTTCTCAAAGCAAAATAGTGAAAGTTTCTGTGTCTTTTTAATGAAGGAGCTAAGAGAATCCAGGTTCACTTCTGTACGCTTTGGTTTTGGGAAGTCGGCAAAACAATCTGTACGATCAGGCTCATATAAACTGTATCATAGTCATATATTCATCTTTATTTGAATAGGTGCAGTACACAATTATCAACATTACTGTAATTGTGCTGAGCTATATAGCCATAGTTAAATAAAATAATAACAATTGTAAACCGCTTTGTGACTCTGGTCTGTGAAAGGCGGTATATAAATGAAGATTACTTCGTTTACAACTGGAGTCCCTCGACAAGGTGGAAAATACCTGCAAAAATACCCCGAACATCACAATATAAATAATACAATTTAAAAAAGGCATACATGACAGAAACATAATCACAGTGGCATGATTCAGATAAACAAACATAACATCAAAATAGCTCCTCCTCGGAATGTTTTAAGTCTCACTTTTATTCTCTGACTTTTATTTATTTTATTGTTTTGTGTTGACTGCTATGTATGTATAAAATGGGTGTGTTTTATAGTTTTATTTGATTTGAGTTGTTCTTATTCCGTAAATAAAGTGAATAGAGTGGTGTTGGGTAAGAATGTAAATGTAAGGATGAGGGAGTGTTTGTCAGACAGTGGTTGTGCCGACGTCGGGTACGAGAGAAAGTCAAAGGAAGAAATGAAATGTTTGAGATGAAATATTTGAGAAGTATGAAAGGTGTGACTAGGATGGATAGAATGAGTGAGGGAGAGAACAGATGCATGTGCACTGAGATGATATGGGCGTATGCAGAGAATGAATGAAGAGAAAGAGGAAGGCCAAAGTATAGATGGAATGATGGCGTGAAGAGAGAGTGAATGCATGGACTGACTCGAACTGCCCAGATGAAGAGAAGGGGGTTAACCAGCCTTTGCTGTAGGGCCCCTTGAGTCAAAGCCAATGGGTAGACCAGGGCCATAACCCCACTGTGGTGGTACTGCTGAGGGGTCTAGAGGTGTGAACGTGGATGAATGAGTGTGTAATTAGAACTTTTCATGTAGTCCACCACCAGGAGGAAATAGTTATGATTATAGATAGTTTTATCAACTTATTGTTTTTAATATAATATAATTATAATATAAACTATATAATATTCAGACTCAAACTGTATACTAATCAGATCCATATAAACTGTATAATATTCAGACTCATATAAACTGTATAATATTCAAACTAATATAAACTGTTGAATATTCAGACTCATACAAACTGTGTACTTCTCAGACTCATATAAACGATATGATTTTCAGACTCATACATAAACGTAGACTTCAGTGTTTGGTTCCGTGTTCAAAGTTCCCACGGAGGCGTAGGTCCCGCCCCCCGCTGCTGAGCTCGTCGCTGATTGGTCAGCGCTGCCTCATTTGCATTAACGTCAGTAAAGGCTGTAGGTCAATCCTTACGGGTGCTTTTATTGGATGGGCCGCTGTCAAGCAGTGCTGAAGAATTGGAAGGGCAAACGCCACACAAGGCAGGGAACAGACAGACCTCAAATCAGCATTATGTAGCCCCATTCCTCCTCGTCTTCGCTAGCTTAAAGGCTTCATCAACCCCCGTCGCTTTCACACGCGAAACTTGTGGATACTGCGAGAGCCTTGTATATTTTTTTTTTTCCTTGCATTCTCCAGAGGTGGTACTCTACATATGTCTGACAGCCTCTCGCTTTGATTTCTCACCACACAGAATGGAGATCGTAGCGTTGTAGTAGCCAGTCGCAGTCGGGTTGGCGGTGCTGTATATGTGTTGGATCATCTTCGTCCCCCGTGCAGCAGCGAAGGGAGGACGGCGTGAATGGACCCAGCGAGCCGTACGCCGGGACCTCCCCGTGTGTCTCGCTGATTGTGGCCCGATGCATGGAGAGTTTGGCCGGCTTTGTGTCGCGCTGGGGCCACTGCTGTGTGACAGTACGCCGAGGATATTTCAGCCTGTTGATGATGATGGACCGCAAAGTGTCGTGAGAACCGTGTCTCGCATGTAAGTGGATGACCAGATTGACAAGAAGCCGAGAGAAGACATGTTTTTTGACGGCTCTGGGCTTGGTGAAGGACAAATAAAAAACCCTGGACTATAAAAATGGATGAAAGTATTGCCTGAGAGCTGGAGTAGGCTGTGGAGAGAGAGAGGGAGAGAAAGAGAGGCAGAGAGAGAGAGAGATAGAGAGAGGAGGGGGGTCCATGGTGTGTACAGGCCTACAACTTGATATCAGTAAAGTTTAAAAAAAAACTTCACTACAGGCATACCCAGTCCCAGCTGAAGAACCCAAGTTTTGTGAAGGATTACTGCTCTCATTAACCCTAACCCTAACCCCAAAGGGAGGAACCCGGCTTCCTGGTTCAGGGGTGGGGGCAAAAAAGTATATTATTCATGCCTTCCATTGGAGCAAATCAACTACTCTCTATGGTGTGGCCTAGATGATACCCACCTCATCCGTGTTGCATATTTATAACTGTTCAAAAATGAAGGCTTAGGAAATGCACTAGACTTTTGTAAAAGACTTGAGAGGACACAGAGGAGCCTCAAAAGGAATACAAAAAGAAGGACAACATTATCTGAAGTGGGCTGAAGCATGGGCTGTGCTTCAAGTATCCATATTTCTGATAGGGTGGTCAACCACAGTGGAAAAGAGTCTGAGGATTCCCACTCACCCCAACAGACAAACACCACTCAGCATCAAGGAAATCCGGCCTCGGGATTACTGCCCCTCAAAGCCCCCAGCAGCAAGGTGAGGCCCTGCACGCACAACAAGTGGCACGCATTTTAAGTGCGAGTATTGTAATAACACTAGTGAAAGAAGTGCTCAGTTTTGTGGCATGAGTAAAACTATACATAGCAGGAAAGAACGAACAAAAATGACTCAAGTAAAAGTAGGGCATGGGAGAGTCTATTCAAAGCCCCCCATAACTTTTAAGCAAACTAATTAATGCAAGAAAAATGTTGGGTTTTGAATGCACTGAAAAAATGTGCAGCTTGCCTCTGCACAGACCTGACTCGTACATAGTGATACAGTAATAGTAATAGCTTGTTTTGACGTGCCTATACATTATTCAAAATGTATGTAAGTCATATCCTGGACTAGTTCATCCTGCTTGTTTCCATGGAAATATCATAGGTTTGAAGATAATAGTTAAAAGCTATTAAACAAAAAATGCATCAAACTTGTTCCTCGCTTTCAAGACGATTTGTTTTGTTTTTTCACATGCATGTTTTGGCCTTGGTCTGAAAAAAAGAGGACCACCCTTGCTCAGCCAATCAGCTCTCAGTATCAGGCTAAAGCATCAAATAGTGGCTCATAGGGCTCTGTCTACAAGTATGCAAAAGATAACGTGATTTCCATTTTGATGAAGTGAGTTGTGAAGTAAAAAAATATATCTGGTACTTCAGCTTTTAGTGACCTATGTCCATGGATAATGTTCCAGGCTGTAACTGTCTATGTAGAATCGTGGTGTGATTTAGTTAATTCAAGTTACATGCTCTTACTTTAAAGCTGGGCGATGTAAGTTTTCTGAATATTTTGGAATACAGTAGTATCAAACTTTATAGAAGTTTAATGGCTGACAGCTGATGATGTTTTTTTTTTGTTTTTTTTTAAAGCTACAGTACGTAACTTGTTGGACATGGAAATTAAAAAAAGCACTCGGTTGAAATATACACATTTTGTTAGTTGTAATGAACCAGTTTGGGGACAAAAAATGTGTATGAATTTGTTCTCTCCACTTAATGTGATCTGAAGGAAATTTTAAATATTTTTATTCAATTAGACAAAGGTGTTTCCTCATGTTCCTAACTGTCATTTTAAAAATATTCTGTTATTTCTTGTTGATACATAAGCCACACTTGACCCCTTCAATTTTCAATGTATTTTTTGAATAGCCCTCAATCACGACAGCTCTTAATCTCGGAAGACTTAACAAAGTTGTTGATTCGCCAACACAGAGCAGAGAATCAAACAGAATCACAGAAAATGCACTGATGAAAAAATGCATAGAGCCATATGTCCATAAATGTTTCTAAATATCAATAAATGCCCTTACTTGTCATATCTACCACCCCTTTCTAACCAAGAAGTAAGATTATGAACGCCAACCAGTTGTTTAAAACTAGAGAAAGCTTGCCAAATGATATGTAAAATCCTAAATATACTCTTTTCTTTGTGAAATAATGGGTCATATGGGCGTTGAGTTTAAGACAAGAAAACGTCTGTAATTACATAAAGTTGACTCAATATTGACAAGAAGAAGCCTCAAGCATAAGTAGTCTTTTTTGTGCACGATTTTTTTGTATCCAGAACAATTTCAGATTCTCAAGACGTCATATTTAAAATTTCAAATCATTTTCTTCCTCAGTTGAGCACATGGGCGATGACAAAGCTCTGACTCTCACATGAGTAGCTGCGTTTTACAGTCATTTCACATTTTTAAACTTCTGTTGTGACTTTTGTGAACTTCCTTTTTCAAAACCCCAGCTTCAGAGAGAGGTCACAGCTGCTTCCAAAAAAACTGCACATTTTAGGCTTTGAAGAATTACTTAGTTTAATGATGAATGGGAATATCTTTACAAAAGTAGAGGGATTGCTGTTCAGTAATATGGGTTTGGGTTGGATATGTTTTTGTCTTCGAATAGTCTCTTTAGGGAGAGGTGACATATTAGTATTGGCAATTGGCTATGGCTATTTTGAGTGCATTTCAAACCATTTCAGGAGTGGGACAGGAGATACAGCACTAGACATAACACACTTTTAGACAAGGTGATTTTTTTATTTTTTATTATTTGAGAAACTGTCAAAGCAAGTTTGTCAAAATGTTGTGTTTGATTTAAAATTTTAGAAAGACAAGCAATTTCTCACCTCATCAAACCAGATCGCATGTTTTTGTGGCACTGCTGAATAAAAGTAGGAGCTAGAAGAGCTTTCTTTAGGCCTTGTAGCTTCTAGTCAGTTCATTGTTTCTGGGATATTATTGTTTTTTTAACGCAAAAAGCAACGTCATATTGTAAGAAAAATTGTCATAGCGAGGAGCTGTTCTTCATGTTGGTTAAGATCCATCATTTAGCATAAGGTCTTTTTAAAAACTGATGTTTTAACACTTAGAGTTTGAAATGCAATGAATTACTACTACTTTATCAATAATGTGACCCTAGACACCAGATAAACATTTTCAATAAATAAAACTAGTGCTTGGCCACAGTGCAGCAGGGCGTGTGCGTGCGTGCGTGCGTGTGTGTGTGTGTGGGTGAGAGGGGCTTAATATATAAATAAAAGTCGTACACCAAATAGATAGAAAAATGGACATTTAATGACACTAAACAGTGACAAGACACATACAGAGACAACAGAAAATAAACCATACAGACACACAAGGACACATAGTGGAGTGAGGGAGAGAGTGAGGGAGAGAGTGAGGGAGAGAGTGAGGGAGAGAGTGACGGAGAGAGGCTCAGGCCCTCAGCAGCAGGAGCCTTCTACAGTACATGGTGTTGTGAGAGAGGGTCCAGAGACAAAGAGAGCCCACTGTGACCGGCCTGCTACAATAATATTTGTATTTATTTATTTTTGTTCCATTTTGTCATGTATTGAAAGAAAATCCCACAATAATCCAGTACAACAGTAATACATTCCATGAAAAGAATAACAGGAGTAGGCTGAAGAGAAAAATAATAAAATAAACTCTTAGATGGCTAGGCTGTCTAATAAAAAAAAAAGATTAGATTCATTTTGGAGTCGGTATTGTTTATCGTAATCAAATAATTTCAAATAGCGTCACATTTATATGTCTCGTGTTGCTTTCTCTCATTAACCAGACGCTCACATGGACCCGTTCAGATCCAGTCATTTACACACATCACACAGGAAGTGACTGTGAGCGGGACAGCAGCAGCGTCACACAGGCACACCTTAGAATTAGGATTTTTTTCTCTTCTGTCGCCCAAAATGTAAAATATTAACTTTTGATTTGTATCATTTTGTTGTCTTTTTTTTTTAAATCAACCATATGGGAGTGATTTTTCCCCGATGAGAATTACCTGTTTGGCGGTTTGAAGGTTGACTTTGGGACGAAAAAAAATAAAAATGCTCATAATCTATTCAAATGCAGTTATTTGAATTATTTGGCGAATTGCAATTATTTTCTGCACCGCACAGCCTCAGTCTTCATTCTTCAGCATGAATCCTGGATTTGCAACCTGAGCGGATCGCTCCCTATCGTCTATCTTTCCCCTCTGGATTTATTTGAGTCGTCCCTTGTCGATGCAGGAGGGTCTAAGGACAGTGATGGTCAGGGACATTTAAGGAAATGTTTCTAACAGCGGCCATCCTTATCCCTATGGCTTCTATGTATTTGTTATTATTGCTTTTCTTGTGTTTGAACTGTTTGATTCTCTGATCTGTTGTTGAGAAATCAGCAACTTTGTAAAGACCTCAGAAACGGCTGCTGTTGAGTACTCCCAGTTGCTACAGTGGGGAAATTGTCTTAAATTGTTAGAAATATAGTGTGTTAATATTAAAGGTGTCCCACTACTTTTACTGTTAATACTACCTCTAAAGAGAAGTGCAGTAGTAGGGGCATGCCATTACATTAAGTCAATGATAGCTGATGGATCATGGTATTAGTAATTGCTAAAAATCAATTATTGGTGTTTTACTATTGAAAAGACCATGTCCATATTTTGTGTATGTGACTATCTTATGTCAGCATAAAACTGTGGGTGTGGGTCATAGGATCATAAAGCTATAGATTATAAAGTTGTATCTATATTGTAAACAGTCAAATCGGTCCATCCAGCAAGGCAAGTTTATTTGTAGAGCACAATCAAGACCAAAGGCAAGGCCAAAGAAATTCTAAACCAATGGCCTGCCGATCATTTATTCAAAGGGAGCTGTGGCAAAGACAATTAAATAATCAACAAATCTATTTAGGAAGAAACAAATCACATATTTATCACGTAAAAAACAAATTGAGAGTTTGGTCTGGCTGGAAAATAACAACTTCTACAAATACTGTACACTTCTTCAAGGCAAGTGTATTTGAATAGCGCAGTTAGAAATAATAAAATAAGAAATTTATAAACAAATAATCACAGTAATATGCAATCCTTCAGTTGTATGCGCAGCTAAACTAAAGTGTTTTTAAACCTGGATTTGAGTCTGAGTTGGTTCATACAGACCTAAAATGTTACAGATGTGCTTTGGTGCGAGGCCATGGAGAGACTATACTCAATCACAGCTGCTTTAAAGTCTTTTCTGAGTCATAGGAAGCCAGTACAGAGACCAGAGAATATATGTTTGCAGTTTTCACATAGACATTATTGTAATTGAAATAAAATACGTTGTTATTTGATACAAAATATGTCCGACTAGGAACCATTGCTTGATTAATCGACTAAACAGATATCGAAAGCCCCATGAAGAAGTCAAAATATTGGGGACCCATGCATGCAACACTCGCGACACTTTGTAATGGGATTGTACTGATTTATTTGTATTGAATTAGATAAACGGCTTTGGTTATAAAACGATCGGGTCCAACAGTCATGTTCACACTTATTCTCATTAAAAAGGAACAGTTATATAAAATTAGCCTCAGGGTGAAGCAGATAGTAACATCACAAGACCTCCTCCTGATTTAGGCCTGATGCAAGTCCCGCTTTAGACCTTGTTTTGTTTTAGACCTGAGGTAGAGTGTTATGAAATCCAGTAGTTCACTGAATATTCCAAGATCTGCTGTGTTT